GTCTTTCCCTCTCCCCCTCAAATAAATAAATGTTTAAAAATAAAATAAAAAGGTAGATAGGTAGATAGATAGACAGGCTTACTAATTCAGTGATACTCTTCCCCGTATGGTTAAGTGGAAGAGAGCCCAAATGAAGGCAGTTGAAAAAGGAAGAAAGGTAGGGAACTGTGCTAATGTGAGCTTCAATTGCTATCCTGAAGATTTGTGCTTTGCCTCCATTTTCTTCTGTTGGAGGAAATTAGTATTTATGTCAGGATCATCTTCAGATGAGGAGGAGTCTCCCTGGTTCCAAGAGGAAAGGGAAGAAGTGCTCTTGTTATGCCTTGGACACTTGTCTCCAGTTTTTAGGGACCAGATTGCAACCGCTAGTTGAGACTTGTACTTTGTGTTGACTAACCACAGTCATAGCAGATTCCCAGGTGCAGGTGAGGTTTCTGCTCCTGGCTCACAGCCTTCTGCCAAGTTGTTTGTAGGTGAAAGGTTGAGAGGTGCCTGGGTGGCTCAGTCAGTTAAGTGGCCAACTCTTTTTTTTTTTTTTAAGATTTTATTTATTTATTTGACAGAGGCACAGCGAGAGAGGGAACACAAGCAGGGGGAGTGGGAGAGGGAGAAGCAGGCCTCCCGCCGAGCAGGGAGCCCGATGCGGGGCTCGATCCCAGGACCCTGGGATCATGACCTGAGCCGAAGGCAGACGCTTAACGATTGAGCCACCCAGGTGCCCCAAGTGGCCAATTCTTGATTTCGTCTCAGGTCATGATCTCAGGGTTGTGAGATGGAACCCCACCTTGGGCTCCGCGCTCAGCGGGGAGTCTGCTTGAGATTCTCTCTCTCCCTCTTCCTCTGCTCCTCCCCCTACTCAGGCTCTCATTCTCTCTCTCTAATAAATAAATAAATCTTTTAAAAAGAAAAGAGGGGCACCTGGGTGGCTCATTTGGTTAAGCATCTGACTTCAGCTCAGGGTTCTAGGATCGAGTCCTGCAAGGAGCTCTTGCTCAGCAGGAAGTCTGCTTCTCCCTCTCCCTCTGCCCCTCCCCCTGCTCATGCTCTCTCTCTCTCTCAAATAAATGAAATCTTTAAAGACAAAAAAAGTTTGACCAAGTTGCTTGAAACGAGGCCCTGCAGGGTGAAGAGTCCGTGAAGCCGGGCGTCAGTGAGGGTGAGGGGTGACACAGCCCTTGCAGCACCGTAAGAGCAGTCCCTGCTGCCGCCCCACTCTCTTCTTCGTTCAGCCGCTTTCTCCCTCTTCATCTCCCAGGGGCCAGCATGCTGGTTGGAAGTTTTATTCTCTTCACCATCCAAGGCCAAGCCGTCTGTATCCCGGTGAAGTTATCTAGCTTGGAAGCCCTGAGGCTCGGGGTCTCGGTCCACCCCAGATGGGGCTGGCAAGATTGAATTTCCCAGAAGTCCAGACCCATGTCACCTGCTGCCACTACCCTCTGCCCTGCTGGACCCGAACCCAGGCCTGTGTCAGTGACGCTAGCTAACACGTACCGAGTACTGACTGTGGGTCATATACCCCTCTCCCCGCCCTCCCTCGCCCCTAGAAGCTGAAGAGTTGCACTATCCTCCAGCAGTCCCATGAGTGATGACACGGGGTACAGTGTCATCTGTGTGCAGCTGGGGAGTGTGGACAGGAAGTGCTCGCCAGCAGTTTGGCTCTGGAGTTGCTCTCAGCAGCTTTCTCTGCCTCAGTTTCTGTTAGTGTTTTGAGTTTCTGGTAGTATTTTATTTTATTTTATTTACAAGTATACTTTCAAAACAGGTCATTGCCCTGCGATATCCTCAGTCAAGACTGCATGGCCAAGAGGAGCTGCCCTCTCACTCTTACCACTGGGGCTGGAGGCTGGAGGGGTCACGATTTGGGATCTTGGACTGAAGTTTCTCCGTTTTCTCCATGTTGTGTTAATTTCCTCTCTAGCAAATGGGAAAAGCCAGCAGCAGGGCGTACCGCCAGCAGTCCGCGTTGGAGTGACAGTTGTGGTTTGGAGAAAGGGCTATGTGGTGGCTACAGAGAACCTGTCTCACTGCTTTTTCTCTCCTGCTCCCCCCGCCCCCCCCCCGTTTCCGGTGCTTTCATTCATTAGCAAGACATTTGCTGAACACCTGTCCTGTGTGGAGCATTGCGCTAGGTTCTGGAGAACGCTGTCCTCAGGTGGCTCCCAGTGTAGTGGGAGAGACAGTCACGACACTGAGGAGCCTGAGTATCAGGGGTTCACAGAGGCCCACTGGCTCCCTCTGCAAACTTAATGAAGTCAGGGAAGGTGGCTGGCTGAGGGTGACGTCAGAGTTCCCTGGAGGATGAGGAACAAGAGCAGCACAGGGGTTGGGACCAGAAGGTGCAGGCACCTGGGGCGACTGCAGGGGGAGAGCTGTCTGAGCAAAGGCACAGAAGCTGGGAGGGGCTAAGGAAGTTCTGGGAGTTCTGGATGCCCTAGGGCACAGCTACGGGTGGAAGAAAGATCCAAACTGTGAAAGTATTTAGATGCTGTGCTGAAGAGTTTGGGTTTTATCTGGAGAGTTATGGAGAATCCCTGGAGGGTTTTGAGCAGGGTTGACATCAGATCTGCTCACTCTGGCAGCCTTGTGGAGAGGGTATCTGAGGGCATCGGGACCCAGGGTGGACAGACAAGGCTGGGGCTGCAGCAGCGATCCGGACGTCCCTGGGTCTCAGAGGGTCTCCTTTTCTCACTCTTGCAGTTGTGAGTGCGGAGGTGCTCAGAGCCCAAGAAGAATGGGAAGCTGTGGACAACATCCGGACAGAGACAGGTAACTGCAGGAATGGCGCTGTGCTGCTAAGAAAGGCACCATTCATGTGTGGCTAACGTTTCTGTGACCCTGGGATTAGAATTCCTGAGAGTTCTCATTTTAGCTCCCTGACATAGAATAAAATATCTTTCCAAATCCACCTCTGGAGGAAATGGGAATGAACGCCATGGGAAAAGGGCTGCCACGTGCTCAGACCTGAGAGAAGACAGGGAGGACTTTGGTCAGGGTCTGCTTCCGCAGGGTGATGAGGTTGAGCAGAAGGATGGAGGCAGGCAGCCAGGGAGAACAGGTTGTTCACCGTACAAGGAAGTCTCTGGAGATAGGGGCTGAAGCCATGCTAGAAGGCTCTGAGGGCTGGGTAAAAATTCTCACTCCCTTTTCTGACAGGTTTGGACGGAGCTGTGGGAGGGTAGAGCTCGGACCCATATCTAGCTTGAGCTCTACTTGGGCTCCTGGAAAGTCATTACAGTGGACTGTGTCAGTCATCCCCGAAATTGCTGATAACGTTCATTCCCTGTGGACTGTACCAGAAGATGGAGAGGGGGTCATCCATATACAGGGTGTGAGAAAGGGCAAAGTGGAAGTGAGGAAAGGCCCCTAAACAGACCTTGGCATGCTCCCACATGGGGACCTACTCCAGGCAGTGACTTGCCTCCTCACAGATGAGTGGAATGGGACCCCCTGCCGGGCAGATCTGTCCCTACTCACTGCAGAGGTTGGCCTAGCAAGCCTCTGAACAGCCCGGTCTACGAAGGGGCCTGGCCCAGCAGAGAATGCCAGCCCCTTAAAGAAGAGTGGTTTGAGCTGTAGATATCTGATGCCTGCCACTGAAAGCCAGTGTCTGGCTTAGAGGTGACAACGCGAAGGCCCTCAGTAAATGTTCGCTGACAGAATGACCACCGTTACAAGTCTGAGAGTGTCTTCCCTTTTGCCACAGGGAGCCAGGCCAGCGCAGACCAGCCTGGGCAGCTGATCTCCTTCAGTGAGGCTCTGCAGCATTTCCAGACCGTGGACCTCTCTTCCTTCAAGGTGTGGAAGTAGGGAGGTTTGGGGTCTCAGGCAAAACCCCTTCTTCCCAGGAGCCAGGTTTCTATCCCACCAGCCTAGGGCACTGGGCAAGCAAGGTGGAAGCTTCCAGTTGAAGACCTTACCTCATCTAAGAAATCTTGGAGCACAGAATCAGCAGTAGCCAAGGACCCAGGCTTCATGCAGGACCCCAGTGGCCTTTTTGGGACTGTGTCCCCAGAGCTCTTGTGGCCCTGCCATACACAGGTCTGTGTAGCTGCTCCCTCCTCTTCCATCTTAGGGATGGGGAGGTCTGGAATCAAATGCTAGACAGTTCCTTAGGGAAGCAAGGCATTCTGTCTAGAGAGCTGAGTAAGTCATGGCCATTCACTCTTCCATTCCTTCAGGGAACCAGAAATTTATTTGGGAATTTTTAAAATATGTGGGGTTGGAAAAAGAAGAAACATTGAGGAGAATAAAAGCTGGTGGGCTTTCTGGGGCATCTTGAATGACTAAGAGTAGTTTTAGAAGATTGTGATTTCAGATCTTCAACCTAAAACCTGGTTCATGGGTGATTTATGGGACTCAGAGGGCCAGAAGCTACCAAAATCAGAATATTCTAAGATCTGCAGCAGTGGCCCTTGAGCAATAAGTCAGCATGACCTGGTTTAGGAGGTGCCCTTGTGGTATGGACAGAATGCTCCAGCAAACCCTCAGGTATCCAGCTCCAAAAAGTCCCCACTAACCTCCCCTCCTCACTGGCTCTCTCACCCTGGAAGTTGAGAGGACTGCTAGGCTTTATCATTTATGCCCTCTGCAGAGAGAGAGAGACCTACAAAAGGTAAAGCAGCCCTGCTAGGAAACCTGACCTGGCTTTGTCAGACCAAGCAGGGGTCCCCATGCCAGCCATCTCTGACAGTCAGTGGGAAGTAGCTCTGGAGAAGCCCAAAGGAGCAAATGCGGACAACGGGCTAATAATGCCTATACTTGGGGACCTCTCTTTTCTTTTTTAAGATTTTATTTATTTATTAAAGAGAGAGCAGGAGCGGGGAGGGGGGAGCAGAGGGAGAGGGAGAAGCAGACTCCCCGCTGAGCAGGGAGGGGGACGTGGGGCTCGATCCCAGGACCCCGAGATCATGACCTGAGCTGACGGCAGACGCTTAACCAGCTGAGCCACCCAGGCGCCCTGGGGACATCTCTTCTACTTACAAAAATCCTGGGACCCAGCAGAGCCTGTCTCTAGAGATGGAGCAGGTGCTTCACAGTTCCTGCCCCCTTCCAAGGCGCAGAGACCAGCCAGTTAGTTGGCGGAGCTACTTCTTTCTACAAGAACAGTCCCTGTACTGACCCTGATGGTAAGTTCATTAGAGCAGGTGAACCCAGGCCTCTGCCCATTGCCTGCATCTTCCTCCCCAGAAAAGAATCCAGCCAACTATTCGAAGGACGGGGCTCGCCGCCCTCCGGCACTGCCTCTTCGGGCCTCCGAAGCTCCACCAGGGTCTCCGAGAAGAAAGGGACTTGGTCCTGACCATTGCTCAGTGTGAGTGCACAGGTGCTGCCCCGAGGCAGATGCTGCGTATGTGGTCAAGCAGAGAGCACTGTTTGCCCTCCTGTTGCGGAGGCTAAGCCAGAGGTCTTGCATGTACCGTGCTGGCAGGGAGAGCGGGAGCCACGGGGTGAAAATGTAGGAGAACACAGTCTCTTGAGTACAATCCAGATCTATCTTGTCTGAACCATTCTCTGAGAAACACTCAGTCCCCCCCTGAGGGGCAGGCAGTCCGACAGAGAGTGGGGATGTGTTTTCGGGCAGGTGGCCTGGATAGCCAAGACCCAGTGCATGGCCAAGTCCTCCAGACTATCTACAAGAAACTGACTGGCTCCAAGTTTGACTGTGCCCTCCACGGAGACCACTGGGAAGATCTGGGCTTTCAGGGTAAGAGACAGCAGTTGTTCATCTTTTTTTCCTTGACCCCTGAATCCAGGACTAGAATGAGAGCCCAGATAGTCCTCTTCCTGTCGTGCTAGCGCCCTGAGGTAGGATATCCAGGGGAGAGGGTACAGGAAATGCAAAGGCCCTGAGGTGAGCATGTTTATCATGCTTGAGAAATAGTGAGGAGTGTGGCTGAAGTGGAAAGGTCCCTTGTGGCCTTATACAGGCCATTGTCGGACATTTACTCTAAGAGAGATGGAAAGCATCAGAGTGATAGGATTTAGTTTTTTTTTTTCTCTTTCCTTTTAACACAGATGAAAATTTTGCTTTATACTGTTTTATTTTTTGAGTGAAACAAAATTATTTCTGCTGTCTTTGGATTATGTTACTCTTTTTTCAAAATCATACCAAGTTACATTTACGTGGAATAGGAAAATGTCCTCATTTGAAAAGGAAATTTTCTGTATCCATAATTAATTGGTCCATTGGTATTGACAACATGTTTAAGTCCCTCATCTATAATATAATTATCTTATTTTCCTCCATATGCAATGAGAATCATGTCAGTGTTACGATTTTTGTTTCAACCTTCAAACAATTTAGAAAACTCAAGAGGAGGAGCAAAGTCGGCTGTATTTACCCATATGCTTACTCTTTCCACTGTTCTGTTTTCCTTTCTTATTAGTCCAAGATTTCTCCTTTTATCATTTCCTTTCATTTTCAAGAACTTCCTTTAAGCATTTTCTAAAGTAGATCTGCTGGTGATAAATTCTCTTGGTTTCCCTTCATCTAAGGAAATCTTGATTTCCCCTTCACTCCTCAAGGATCGTTTCTCTGGACAGAGAATTCCAGGTTGACAGTTTTTTTCTTGCAGCTCTTGCAAACTGTGCTACTTGCTTCTGGCCCCCATGAGAAAGCTTCTGTCATTTGCATTCTTTCTCCCTGAGAGGCAAGGAGTTGTTTCTCCCTCTCTGCTTTCAAGATCTTTTAGAGTTTGCAGGAGTTTGACTGTGTTGTGTCTTAGTGTGGATTTCTTTGGGCTTATCCTACTGGGTTTGCTCAGCTTCTTGAATCTGTAGGTTTAATGTCATTTGCCAAATATGGTCTATCTTCAGCCATTATTACTTCACGTGCCTTTTTTCCTTAATTCCAGTGTAGTTCACATACAATGTTACATTAGTTTCATGTGACTAATATAGTGATTGAGTAATTCCATACATCACCTAGTGCTCATCAAGATAAGTGTACTCTTAGCCCTTCACCTATTCACCCATCTCCCCACCTGCCTCCCCTCTAGTAACCATCTGTTCTCTATAGTTAAGAACCTGGGTTTTTTGTTTGTCTCTTTTTTTTTCCCATTTGTTCATTTGTTTTGTTTCTTAAATTCCACGTGAGTGAATACTTGAAGTACTTTTCTCAGCCGCATACTTTCTCGTCTCTTGTGGGACTCAGATGACAGATGTTAGATCTTCTGTGCTGTTCCACAGGTGAGAGGCTGTGTTCATTTCTTTGGATCTCTGTTCTGTAACTCATAGATCTCCAGGGCTCTGCTCATTTTGTTTTGTTTTCTTTTTCTCCCTATGTTCAACAGATTGGATAAGTTCTATTGTTCATCTTCTGTTTCACCAATTCTTTCCGCTGTTGTCTCTATTCTGCTCTTGAGCCCATCGAGTGAGTTTTTAATTTTAGTTATATTTTCTGGTTGTAAGTTTTTTATTTGGTTCTTTATACCTGATATTTCTTTGCTGAGACTTCCTATTTTTACATTTTTTTCAAACTGTGTAATTATTTATCAAAGGCATTTTTATGATAACTGCTGTAGTAGTTTTCTATTGTTGCTGCAACAAATTACCGCAAATTTAGTAGCTTGAAACAACACAAACTTATTAAAGTTAATTTATTTATTCAAGTAATCTGTACACCCAACATGGGGCTCAAGCTCACAACACTGAGATCAAGAATCACATGCTCTTCCAATGGAGCCAGCCAAGCACCCAAAAAACAAACTTACTGTCTTATAGCTCCGTAGCTCAGGGGTCTGACACAGGTTCACTGGGGTGAGATCAGTGTGGCAGAGGGCTGCATTCCTTTTTGGAGACTCTAGGAAAAACTCCATTTCCTGGCCTTTTCTATCTTCTAGAGGCCATGTTCACTCCTCCTCCTCCAAAGCCAGGAACAGAGCATCTCCCTGAGCCTGGTTTTGTCCTCACATCTCTTTCTCTGATTCTGTGCTTCTGCCTCCTTCTCTCACTTTTAAGGACTCTTCTGAATACCTTGGGCCCACCCAGAGAATCCGGGATAATCTCCCTATCTGCAGATCGGCAACCTTAATTCTACCTATGATCTTAACTTCCTCTTGCCATGCAACAAAATATATTCCTAGGTTCTAGGGATTCGGACAAGGACGTCTTTGGAGGGGCCATTATTCTGCCTATAACTGCTGCTTTAAAATCCTTGTCAGGTAATTCCAACATCTGTGTTATCTCAGTGTTGCTATCTATTAAGTATCTTTTCTCATTCGAATTAAGATTTTCCTAGTTCTTGATGTAACAAATGATTTTTTGTTGTTGTATCCTGGACATTTGGGGTATTACGTAATGACACTCTGGATCTGCTGTAAACCTTTTATTTTAGCAGGCGTCCTCTGACACCACGCCAGTGGGGGAAGGAGGGTGTCACCTCATTACTGCTGGGCAGGGGTAGAAATTTAGGTACCCCATTTGGCCTCTGCTGGTTCCACTGGCTAAGAGGGGGCACAGGTGCCTCATTACATGACTCATTACAGGAGTCCCATGTGGACTCCACTGACATCACAAGGGTGTGGGGCTCAGTCCAGGCTCCCCAATATGCTCACACTACCTTGGTGAAGCTAAGGGGCACCTCATTACAGTCAGGCAGGGGTGGCCAAGCCCTTGAAGCTCATGGGAGAAGGGACTTCATTTGGCATTGCTCACCATCACCCTTCAGTTACTCATCTCGGTTACAGGAGCGAATCCAGCCACAGACCTGAGAGGAGCAGGCTTCCTTGCCCTCCTGCACCTGCTGTACCTGGTGATGGACTCAAAGACCTTGCTGATGGCCCAGGAGATTTTCCGCCTGTCTCGTCACCATATCCAGGTGGGGCTTTGCGGGGAAGCCAGAGGAGAGGGCTGTGGAGACTTTGTGGGTGCAGGGTGCTCCTAAGCAACCAGGAGGGCCTCACGGGGGCTGTCCGTAGTTGCTCAAGGCTCTCAAGACAGCCGAGGCAAACCAGGACCAGGCTTCCCCCGCTAGCCTGACCTGCGCTAGAATCTGAGCTCTACCACTTGTTAGCGTGTGTCTCAAGCAAGTGCTTCAACTCAGAGCCTTGGTTTTTTCATCTGTAGGATGGAAATCATGGACACTTCAGCTGGACAATTAGGAAAATTAGATGTGTACAAAGATGCTAATGTGTCAACTCACTGTCCTCCCTGAGGACACCCCTTCAACAGTACTAATAGGTTCTCCTAACCCTGAAGGAGGAGAGGTCGCCTGTATGTGCCCCAGAGGAGATCTACCTGTGAGGGTCAAGGGACACATGGTCTTACTGATAGGCCAGAAGTGGCTTCTGTAGCCTTTGGTTTGTCCAAGCCTTCTCTGGTGTTGGGTTTAATGGTTTTCCCAGGCAGTAAAAGGTGGTAGTCCCACTGTTTTAGAAAACAAATCTGTCCCATATCCTGCCATTCACCTATGCCACATGCTGGCACCTGGAATTCATCCACTAAACAAATTTCTATTCAGCATTCCCTATGCTATTTATTGTGCTTAGTGCTTGGGGTACATCAGTGGACAACGATCCTTCTACCAGAGAAGACAAGGCAGTGAGCCTAACACATAAATGATAGAGTACATTCAAAGGTGGTGAGTGCTAAGGAGAAAAAACAAGTAGGGTAAGGTTAGGAGAATATGGAGAGTATTTTATGGGGTGCTCAGGGTAGCTCTCACAAGAGGGTGAGAGGTAAATCAGACCTTGAAGGAGGTGAAGATGTTAGCCCAGTTGGTGTCTGGGGGAGAGCATTCCACACACAGGGAGCAGCTAGAGCAAAGGTCCTGAGGAAGGAATGTGTCTGGCACTTGAAGGGGTAGCAGGGAATCAGCTGGAACAGAAGGAGCCCAGGAGAGCAGTCAGAAGGGAGGTCCTACGGCTAACAGGGACCAGACGGCAGAGGGCCTGGTAGGCTATGATAAGCACTTTTGATTTTACTCTGAATAAAGTGAGGGTTTTACAGCCTGGAATACATGATCCAACCTAACACTTTTAAGTGTATCGTATCAGCTGCTAGGTTGAGAATAGTCTATAGTGAGGGCTTTTATAATCAAGTCAGAGATGATGGGTATTTTCAGAGGAGGTGGTGTGAAGTGGTCAGATTCCAGATGTAGAATCTTGAGCTTATGGGCTTAAGAAAATAGAGCCAATTGGGGTGCCTGGCTGGCTCAGTTGGAAGAGCATGTGACTCTTGATCTCGGGGTCGTGAGTTCAAGCCCCACATTGGGAGTAGAGTTTACTTAAAAAAAAAAGAAGGAAGGAAAGAAAAAAGAAAGAAGGAAGGAAGGAAAGAAAGAAAAGAAAGAAGGAAGGAAAGAAAGAAAGAGGGAAAGAAAGAAAGAGAGAATGAAAAGAAAGGAAGGAAGGAAAGAAAGAAAAAGAAAGGAAAGAAAAAACCAGCATCTTTTTCTCATGGATTGATGATGGGTGTGAGAAAAAGAGATTTTTAGTCTGAGTAACTGGAAAGAGAGAGTGGCCATTAACTGAAATGGAAAAGAAGGAGCAAGTTTGGGTGGGGTTCAGTTTGCCATACAAATTTCAGATTGAGGTTTTGCATTTTTGGCAAGAACACCGGGAGTGATGTACCCTTCTCTGTGCCTCAGCTCGGAATGTCTTACTACTGGGGTGGTTGGCTTGGGTCGTATGGTTAAGGTGATGTCTGCCAGGTTTCTCCACTGTAGTTATTATTTTTCCCTTTGTAATTAATGAGTATCTTGGGGAAGATACTTTGAGACTGTGCAAATATTCTGTTTTTCCTCAAACTTTGTTCTAATGGTGGATTTCTGTTTCCTTCATTTTCTCTCACATTTATTAATTGGAAGAATTCCAATTGTCTGTGTTCTTCTATTTATTTATTCATTCAGTTACTTTTTATATCAATGTGGGCTCCTGGATATTTATTTTATTCTATGGGTTATAACCCAGTACTATTGTTACTTATTTTGTTGCTCACATTGTTTCAGCTTTGGCCATTTTAGAAGCTCCTTCAGGGCAGCACTTGCGCCCTTTCCTATGCCCTGTTTTGTTTTGTTTTTTAATAAAGATTTTATTTATTTAATTTAGAGAGACAGAGATAGAGAGAACATGAGCAGGGGAGGGGTGGAGAGGGAGAAGCAGGCTCCCCGCTGAGCAGGGAGCCTGATGCGGGGCTCGACCCCAGGACCCTGAGATCATGACCTGAGCCAAAGGCAGATGCTTAACAACTGAGCCACCCAGGCGTGCCCCCCCACCTCATACCCTGTTTTGAGCACTTTTTGGCTCTCTGGACACCAGAAGATGCCATCTTATATTTTCCCTGTATGATTTCCAGCCCTGGAATTAACCACTTCTCCAAGGAGCTCTCACTCCTTTAATTGGAGAATGACATTTAGAAAGTGCGAGCGGAGGGCCAGGTATGCACGCTGCTCCTAAGTTCTCACCCTTCTAGGCCCTCTGAGTGGACGGAGCCTGGAATCTACGTCTGTGGCAGCTCTGGTAGGAGCGGCCTGAGGTGGGGAGCTCGCCTGTCCCGCCCCGGCTGCCCGGATACTGCCTGAGGGAGAGGAGTCCGCGAGTAAGGGGCTGAAGGTCACACCTGCAACATCGTAGTCAGATCATTTTACCTCAGAGGGCTGGAGTTGGTCAGGCCGGGGTTGCCAAACCAGACTGTTGCAGTAACAGCGTTGTTGGCCACGTGACGTAGTTCTCACGGTGTCTGCTGCTGCTTTTGTAACATGGGAAAATAATTCCAACCCTGCAGAATTATTCTGGGTTGGAGATAAACTATGTGAAGTGTCAAGCGCATTAGTCATTCGGTGAGTGTCAGTTATCAAGGTAACTTTTGATTTTCAAGAGTAAAAATACAGCACACACACACATACACAACACACGCATGCACGCATGCGCGTAAGGTAGATGCCTTTTTTATTTATTTATTTTTTTTAAAGGTTTTTTTATTATTTGAGAGAGAGAATGAGAGACAGAGAGCACGAGAGGGGAGAGGGTCAGAGGGAGAAGCAGACCCCCCGCC